GCCAGACAGACTTGTACACCTGATATCATTCAATTCACCCAATAAAGTTGACCATTTGCTTATAAAAGATCTAACTACTGAAACTTACATTGACAAATGAACCGTGAAAATGAGGCCAAGGAAATGTGATACCTGCCAAACAGACATATACACCTTACAATCATTCCATGCAACAAATATGTTGATCTATTGCTCAACACAGAGATATGTCTCACCTTTTCGTTATTTTGTTAGTAAAATGCAAATGTTGGAAGTTAATATAGCAATACTTTAACATGCAAGTAATGCAAAATATTCAAAGTCAATGAACCATGACTGAAGGTACAGGGCCAAACAATCTCCATGGAAATGAACTAGGCCAATGGTAATACAACTGCATGCCAAATATCAATAAAATGCTCCGCAGGGCGCAGCTTGATACGACCGCAGAGGTCGAACCCTGAACAGTTGGGGCAAGTATGGACACAACATTCAAGCTTGATACAGCTCTGAATTTGGATTGTGATTAAATATTTGACACAGCATAGCTTTCTGACACAGAATGAATGTGGTCTAAGAACTTAAATATTTTAAATTGGACATTCACCTATTATGGTCCAATATCCAAAATCTAAATACATGGTTAGATTCAGAATATCAAAGAACCCCAAGAATTCAATTTTTGAACAAATCAAACAAAGTTTAATTTTGGACCCCGATTTGGACCAACTTGAAAACTGGGCCCATAATCAAAAATCTAAATACATGTTTAGATTCAGCATATCAAAGAACCCTAAAAATTCAATTTTTGTTAAAATCAAACTAAGTTTAATTTTGGACCCTTTGGACCTTAATGTAGACCAATTTGAAAACGGAACCAAAAATTAAGAATCTAAATACACGGTTAGATTGGGCATATCAAACAACCCCAATAATTCAATTTTTGATGAAATCAAACAAAGTTAAATTTTGGACCCTTTGGAATTCAATGTGAACCAATTAAAAAACGGGTCCCAAAATCCAAAAACTTAATACACAGTTAGATTCAGCATATTAAAGAACCCCAAGAATTCAAGAATAAAACCCCATTGAAATTGATCAAGAAATAAGCAATTTATACGAAGTATCTTCTTTTGCACAATACTGTGCAATTGAATATTTCTTGCTATTGTGCAATACTGTACAATTGACAATTTCTTGCTATTGCGCAATATTGTGCTATTGGATATTTCTTGCTATTGCGCAATACTGTGCAATTGAAGATTTCTTGCTATTGCGCAATACTGTGCAATTGAAGATTTCTTGCTATTGTGCAATACTGTGCTATTGAAAATTTCTTGCTATTGCACAATACTTATTATATAATAATTTACACATCCTGTTTGGTGTGTATCTCCTACCATATCATTATTATTTGCTTTTAAATATAAATCAGAAATAACCAACTTAAAATGGAAAATTTTAAAAAGAAAAAAAAAAGGAAAAAAAGAAAAGAAAAAAAATCCCCCCCCCCCAAATTTTTTGAACCCCCTTATGATTCATCACCCCCAAACTCAATCCCAGCCTTCCCTTTGTGGTATGGTACCTTGCAGTACAATTTCAGAGAGATCCATACACTTGAACACAAGTTATTGTCTGGAAACTAGAAAAATGCTTATTTTTGGCCCCTTTTTGGCCCCCAATTCCTAAACGTTTCGGGCAATTACCCCCAAACTCAATTCCAGCTTTCCCTTTGTGATATGGAACCTTGTAGTACAATTTCAGAAATATCCAAACACTTACACACAAGTTATTGTCATGAAACTAGAAAAATGCTTGTTTTTTGCCCCTTTTTTGGACCATTATTCCTAAAATTTGGAGGCAATTACCCCCAAAATCAATTACAGCCTTCCCTTTGTGATATGGAACCTTGTGGTACAATGTCAGAGAGATCCATACACTTACACACAAGTTATTGTCTGGAAGTTACAAAAATGCTTATTTTTGGCCCCTTTTACCTTAACTGTTGGTACCATAACCCCCAAAATCAATCCCAGCCTTCCTTTCGTGGTATTGAACCTTATGGTAAAATTTCATGGAGATCCATTCACTTAAACTAAAGTTAGAGTGCGAAAACCAATGTGTCTTCGGACGACGCCAACGTCATACCAATATACGACCAAAAATTTTTTAATTTTTGCGGTCGTATAACCTACCACTGGTGGTTCCCCATAAACTGACCTAATCACAAATTAATACATGTAAACTAAGGAAAAGTTTTAATGTCAATAGACCATGATTGAGGAGGCGGGGCCAAATAATCTCCATGGAAATGAGATGTGCCACTGCTAATACAACTTCATACCAAATATCATTGACCTACCACTAGTGGTTCCCCATAAAATGACCTAAACACAAACTTGTATATTTTCTACGCCGCTGCCAGAAACAACATACCTATATCTCACTTTTTAATTCTGTCATGGCAAGACAAAAACTTTAAATTGTCCAATGATTCATGAAGAAAAGGTCACGGTTAGATGAACCCTGCAAGATGGACATGTACATTCCATACACTAAATACAGGTGCTATTTTGTTTATAGTATCTGAGAAAGACCAATGAACCATGCAAATGAGGTCAAGGTTAAGTAAAACCTGCAAATCTGATATGCTATCCTTACAATCATTCCATATACAAAATATAGTTGTCCTTTTGCTTATAATTTTTGAAATATAGACGACCATGAAATCAGAAGTATCACGTAATCTTCACATTTTCAATTATACATGTAAATGAGGTCAAGGTCAGATGAAACCTTTCAATAATTCAACACAAGCAATAGGTTGGCATATTGCTTATAGTATCTGATATGCGGACTTTACCATAGAACTCCATGAAATGAGGTCAAGGTAGGACAATCCCTGTCTGACAGACATGTAGACCATGCAAGGATTCCATGTACCAAATATAGTTATCCTATTACTCATAAGTGAGTATTTCACATGACAAAACACTTAAATCTTTTTTCCAAGCAGACGCTGAACCGTGAGAATGAGGTCAAGGATAATGAACACAAGAGACTGGAACTTTGTAACATAGATATCAGCATGCAGGTCTTCTAGCTTCTGAAATATAAAGCTTTAAACAGTGTATGACACCACCACTGGATAGTAATCTGTCTCTCTTGCACTCTGCAGGCAGACAAAAGTGTGAATTCACAGAAATTGAATCTGCTGTTTTTACTCTACAGAAAACCTAAGTAAAAATGAGAAATACAAAACATATAGATATTTCTTCCAATCATTTCTTATTTAATTTACATAGCCACTCAACACCCAACCAAGAACAAATCACTAAAATCTCAACAGCATTATATACCAAAGCTATAGAAGAATTGAAAACTTATCCTTGTAATGGAATTCTCACTCTATTTCCACGATTCATCATACTTTTTACGATAAGAGCTCTTCATTATCTTAACGCAAACTCTTATTTTTGTGCATATTCCAAAGGCTTTGTCACTTCACACACCAATTTGCTAATGTTCTACCCTATTGGAGTTTAAATTTAACTTGCCAAAACTTAATAATAGCAAAATTCAAATTGTCTGCAAACAGGGAGTGGTTATCTAAAATAGATGGGGAATGTGTCCCATTATGCCTTGCTTGCATACATTATAAAGGGACATAACTCAAGAATGGTAAAAAAGTGACGCTACCAAAATTCAAAATTAATCTTGTGTTTTGTGGTAATAAGCATTGTGTATAAGTTTGGTTGAGGCAAACTAAAGTAAGAGAACGGAAATATAAAATTCAGCAATTTTTCCATTTGTAAAGGGGCATAACTCTAGAACGGTAAAAGTGATGCCACCAAAATTCAAACTTGATCTGTGTTTTGTGGTAATAAGCATTGTGCATAAGTTTCAAAACATTTGGTGGTGGCAAACTAAAGTTAGAGAACGGAAACAAATTTCGGGACATACCAACGGACAAGGGTATAACTTAATGCCCCCTTCCGCTATGGTGGGGGCATAAAAAATGCCCACATGTAACAACTTATCACTGTCAAGCTGCCCACCAAATATGAAGTTCATTCTTTTCAGTAGTTTCCAAGAAGTGTGATGAGAATATTTGTTGAATGTATGAACTGAAGGACAAGGTTATTGAAAAATATCCCCAATACTCAAATGTGGTTAAATTCTATGATTTTTCTGCTCATCTTCATGTTAGGATCTTGTTATGCACAAAGGTTTCATGAAAATCTGATGAAGCATATAGAAGTTGGGACCACAAACTGCATATAGCATAGTATCTAACATTTCTATATTCAGACAGGAATACATCATCAGGATTTTAGTTGTAAATAACGTGGGCTGCAAAGTTGACATTAGAATCTGTAATTGTACAGTTTAGTTTCAATTGGAAAAAGTTTAACACTCTAAAGTTTGATTCTCACTGGCTTATTTATCTTTTTTATGTTTGGTATGTGTACAAAGTAAACAATACCAAATTTCTTTTCCATTGAGTCAATAATCATTACAAAGTTAAAATAGAAATGCTAACAGGTAGGTTTTTTTCTCTCTCATTTTGTTCTCAATAGAAGACTTAAATGACATTTTTTTTTCCTTTCTCAGAACTTTGAACTCCTCATAGTAAAAAACACAAAGGCATTTGAGGTCATAGGACACAATCCTTTGAGACTGGTATTAAAAGTATCATGTCAAAGTTATATTTCGTTTGTGGATAATTCTAGAATACATAAAACAAATACGAGTAATAAAATGTCTGAGGTATCTTGGTACATGCTGTCAAACCATAGACATTCACTAGAAATAATACCACTTTTGTATCACATAAATTTATAGGTCATGCAAAAATAAACTGTAGAAGAGCCGATTGTATTTTTATATGTATCAGTTTTAAATCTAGCTTTTGCATCCGTCAGACCAGTAAATGTAAACAAAATATTTATATTCATAAAATGCAAGACAAATTTTGGACAATCCACATGCCATGGATAAAAGATATTGCAACAAGTAAGTCCTTTCACTGCCTTTATTAACAAGTTTATTTCTTCTTGGCTACACCAACAGTTCTACCACGTCTTCCTGTGGTCTTTGTATGCTGACCTCTGACCCTCAATCTGAAAAAGAGACAAAACAGGTTATCCTTAATCACTCTCCAAGTACACAGTAATTTAGAAGATTGTAGGATAGAAAGCCAAAATCTTTTAATTTCAAACTCATACCAGACATCTCAACATAAACCAAATTCTATCATTGGTTTTGCTGCATGAACTGCATAAAATTTCATATGCTATCGATAGCCTTTGATAAAGTCAACCGTCTGTACTTCGTCAGTATTTCTGTGAGGTGTCAACAAAGGTAAACATGATAAGTGAGCATTAACCTGATAGCCATGGGGGCATTTAAAATTAACTTGAACGGCCATGTGGATTATCATACAATACCAAGTGAAATTTTTATTACCGAAAGATTGCATAAAGATTTTTTAACTTTTAACAAAAAATGCAATTTCTGACAAAGCAGCATTGATAATTATGTATGAGCTTTGTAAATTTTCTTTAAAAAAAATATATATATGAATCAAGGACCTATAAGTTTGGTCATGACTGCAAAATACGACTGTTTCCAGACCCTTAGATTAATACCTTTATAAACTCTTATAGGTAATGCTTGGAAAGTTGTAAAATAGATTTTAAGTAACATACATATTTATTGAATGGAAAATGTAAAAACTTGACTACAGTTATTTATAAAAATTTCTGTCATTCACTAAACAAAACTTACCCCCAGTAGTGTCGAAGTCCTCTATGTGCTCTGATTTTCTTCAGTCTTTCTAAATCCTCTCGAAGTTTGTTATCCAGAGCATTGGACATTACTTGGCTGAATTTTCCATCCTTAACATCTTTTTGTCTGTTGAGGAACCAATCAGGGATTTTGTACTGTCTTGGATTGGACATGATGGTGATGACTTTTTCAATCTAAAAGGTGGAAAACAATAAAAATACAAAAAAACATATTAACAAAGGGGAAAATTAGAATTACTGTAATAAGTCAAATAAACTGGCTTAAATAAAAAAAAATCTACCAATATTGTCAAAGTTGTATTACCATTGATTGCTTGTATGTCTAGATGGGTTATGATTTAGAATTTCTGGAATATGCCATACTTCCCTTCATAAAAAATTTAATTTTCTGCAAATTTCAAACAAGATTTTTTTTTATGTTAGGTATTTATACCCTATTTGATCAATGGAGACTACGAAAATTAAAGTAATCTCATGATGAAATATGGGGTACAAATCTGTAGTTTCTTTTGAAGATTTTTTCCCATGCAGGTTTAGTTTGTTAAATGGGTAAAGAGAAGCATACGGTACCCCTCCCAACTACCATTTTAATGCAATTGTCCCTATTTAATACAGAATAAACTGCTTCGCTGAGCGCAGCTAGATACGCCCACAGAGGTCCAACCCTGAACAGTTGGGGCAAAAATGGACACAATATTCAAGCTTGATTCAGGTCTGAATTTGGATTGTAATTAAATATTTGACATATTATAGGTTTCTGAATAAATGTAGTCAAAGAACATGAAATTGGTTATATGAATTGAATTTATATTCACTTGATTTCTTGCTGTTGTGCAATACTTAGTATATCTGTTGTCAGACTATAAACAAATAAAGTTCAATTAATTCTCAATGTCATATTAGAAATTTATGAAAATAAAAAGGGAGCTTACATCAATAGATATTAACAATTCACCAAAGTTTCCTGAGAATTGGTGACAGCATTTTTGAGTTATTGCCCGAAAACTTGAAAATCACCCCTTTTTTTAATGAATAAAACCCCATAACTCAGAAATGTAAAATGTAAAATTTATAAAATTCTAAAAGGAGCTTACATCAATAAAAACAAACAATTCACTAAGGTTTCATAAGAATTGCTGAAAGCATTTTGGAGTTTTGGTCCGAAAACTGGAAAATACCCCCTTTTTTTATGAATAAAACCCTGTAACTCGGAAACGTAAAATCTCAAATTTATAAAAATCGAAAGGGAGCTCATGTCAATAGATATAAACAATTCACCACAATCTTGCAAGTTAGTGATAGCATTCTTGACTTATTGTCCGAAAACTGGAAAATCCCCCTTTTTTTAATGAATAAAACCCCACAACTCAGAAACGTGAAATCTAAATTTTATAAAAAAACGATAGGGGGCTCACGTCAATAGATATAAACAATTCACCAAAGTTTTATGCAAATTGGTGAAAGCATTTTTCAGTTAATGTCCGACATGTTGACGACAGACAGACGGATGGACGGACAGAGGTATACCATAATACGTCCCGTAAACGGGCGTATAAAAAAATGAGGAGTGCAAAATGACATTTTGTTTTCTTCATATTAATCCCATATGGTTTATATCAACTCTGTTTTGATTATTTTATATGTTAGTTTTGTTTGTAAAAGTTGATGCTAATTACATGCTCAAACAGTTGTTTCATAATAAATAATTAAAACTTAATTTTTAGTTTCTCCACCAACCAAATAAAGTATTTAGGGGGGAAAACACAGACCATTAAGGAACACTGTACCCTTGTGAGTTAGCAGTTAAAAAATCTAGACTTATGGTACAATAATTACATTACATGTATGTTTCATTATAATACGTTTTTTTGATTGGCTAACAGCAATCTCACGTCATTCTGAAATTAACGAGCTTCCACAATAAAGTGCACAGGTAAATAAAAGAAAAACTTGATTGAAATCATGTTTTGATGATCCCAGAAAAAAAATGTAATTATAAGTATTGAATGCTGAGTTTAGTAATTTTATAGGGTTGTAAAAGCGTTGACCGTGGGCACATTTTTAGAATGAAACACTTCTGCGCTTCATACAAAATGTACTTCAGTCAATTCTTTTACACCAAGGTTGGGCTGTATTTACCGCCCCCGGTATTTACCACCCCAGGCAATACTCCCTAAGTGGTCAATACTGGCAAATACTGGTCAATTGAAATGTTCATGCTTCTTTTGACTGATTTACAAATGTATCTATCAATTCTAGTAAAATAAAATGCTCCACAGGGTGCAGCTTGATACGACCGCAGAGGTCAAACCCTGAACAGTTGGGGGAAGTATGGACACAACATTCAAGCTTGATACAGCTTTGGATTTGGATTGTGATTAAATATTTGACACAGCATAGGTTTCTAACACAGATTGAATGTGGTCTAAGAACTTAAAAATTTTAAATTGGACATTCACCTATTATGGTCCAATATCCAAAATCTAAATACATGGTTAGATTCAGCATATCAAAGAACCCCAAGAATTCAATTTTTGATGAAATCAAACAAAGTTTAATTTTGGACCCTTTTGACCTCAATGTGGACAAAGTTGATAACGGGGCCCAAAAATCAAAAATCTAAATACATGGTTAGATTCAGCATATCAAAGAACCCCATATATTCAATTTTTGTTGAAATCAAACAAAGTTTAATTTTGGACCCCGATTTGGACCAACTTGAAAACTGGGCCCATAATCAAAAATCTAAATACATATTTAGATTCAGCATATCAAAGAACCCTAAGAATTCAATTTTTGTTAAAATCAAACTAAGTTTAATTTTGGACCCTTTGGACCTTAATGTAGACCAATTTGAAAACGGAACCAAAAATTAAGAATCTAAATACACGGTTAGATTCGGCATATCAAAGAACCCCAATAATTCAATTTTTGATGAAATCAAACAAAGTTTAATTTTGGACCCTTTTGACCTCAATGTGGACAAAGTTGATAACGGGGCCCAAAAATCAAAAATCTAAATACATGGTTAGATTCAGCATATCAAAGAACCCCATATATTCAATTTTTGTTGAAATCAAACAAAGTTTAATTTTGGACCCCGATTTGGACCAACTTGAAAACTGGGCCCATAATCAAAAATCTAAATACATGTTTAGATTCAGCATATCAAAGAACCTTAAGAATTCAATTTTTGTTAAAATCAAACTAAGTTTAATTTTGGACCCTTTGGACCTTAATGTAGACCAATTTGAAAACGGAACCAAATTTAAGAATCTAAATACACAGTTAGATTCGGCATATCAAAGAACCCCAATAATTCAATTTTTGATGAAATCAAACAAAGTTTAATTTTGGACCCTTTGGACCTCAATGTGGACCAATTTAAAAACGGGGCCCAAAATCCAATAAAATGCTTCGCTGGGCGCAGCTTGATACGACCGCAGAGGTCGAACCCTGAACAGTTGGGGCAAGTATGGACACAACATTCAAGCTTGATACAGCACTGAATTTGGATTGTAATTAAATATTTGACACAGCATAGGTTTCTGACACAGAATGAATGTGGTCTAAGAACTTCAATTTTTTTAATTTACCTATTATGGTCCAATGTCCAAAATCAAAATACATGGTTAGATTCAGCATATCAAAGAACCCCATATATTCAATTTTTGTTGAAATCAAACAAAGTTTAATTTTGGACCCCAACTTGGACAAACTTGAAAACTGGTCCCATAATCAAAAATCTAAACACATGTTTAAATTCAGCATATCAAAGTACCCCAAGAATTCAATTTTTGTTAAAATCAAACTAAGTTTAATTTTGGACCCTTTGGACCTTAATGTAGACCAATTTAAAAAACGGGACCCAAAATTAAAAATCTAAAAACACGGTTAGATTTGGCATATCAAAGAACCCCAATAATTCAATTGTTGATGAAATCAAACAAAGTTTAATTTTGGACCCTTTTGACCTCAATATGAACCAATTTGATAGCAGGCCCACAAAATAAAAAATCTAAATACATGGTAAGATTCAGCATATCAAAGAACCCCATATATTCAATTTTTGTTGAAATCAAACAAAGTTTAATTTTGAACCCCAATTTGGACCAACTTGAAAACTGGGCCAAAAATCTAAAATCTAAATACATGTTTAGATTCAGCATATCAAAGAACCCCATATATTCAATTTTTGTTGAAATCAAACAAAGTTTAATTTTGGACCCCAACTTGGACCAACTTGAAAACTGGTCCCATAATCAAAAATCTAAACACATGTTTAGATTCAGCATATCAAAGTACCCCAAAAATTCAATTTTTGTTAAAATCAAACTAAGTTTAATTTTGGACCCTTTGGACCTTAATGTAGACCAATTTAAAAAACGGGACCCAAAATTAAAAATCTAAATACACGGTTAGATTTGGCATATCAAAGAACCCCAATAATTAAATTTTTGATGAAATCAAACAAAGTTTAATTTTGGACCCTTTTGACCTCAATATGAACCAATTTGATAGCGGGCCCACAAATAAAAAATCTAAATACATGGTAAGATTCAGCATATCAAAGAACCCCATATATTCAATTTTTGTTGAAATCAAACAAAGTTTAATTTTGGACCCCAATTTGGACCAACTTGAAAACTGGGCCAAAAATCTAAAATCTAAATACATGTTTAGATTCAGCATATCAAAGAACCCAATATTCAATTTTTGTTGAAATCAAACAAAGTTTAATTTTGGACCCCAACTTGGACCAACTTGAAAACTGGGCCCATAATCAAAAATCTAAACACATGTTTAGATTCAGCATATCAACGAACCCCAAGAATTCAATTTTTGTTAAAATCAAACTAAGTTTAATTTTGGACCCTTTGGACCTTAATGTAGACCAATTTAAAAACGGGACCCAAAATTAAAAATCTAAATACACGGTTAGATTTGGCATTTCAAAGAACCCCAATAATTCAATTTTTGATGAAATCAAACAAAGTTTAATTTTGGACCCTTTTGACCTCAATATGAACCAATTTGATAGCGGGTCCACAAATAAAAAATCTAAATACATGGTTAGATTCAGCATATCAAAGAACCCCAAGAATTCAATTTTTGATGAAATCAAACAAAGTTTAATTTTGGACCCTTTTGACCTCAATGTGGACAAAGTTGAT